GCTTGGTGCGGCGGGCGCCGCTGGGGCGCATGCTCTGCCAGACCTGGAGAGGGTGGCGGCGGTCCTGGAAGAGGGGGTGTGGGGGGCACAGGGTTAGTCAGGCAGTGCTTCCCAGCTGACCTGGTCATTCAGCAGCCCCTTTCCCGGGTCAGCAATGGGGAGAGGGGCACAGGAGTCTTCCCTTGAATTTGCAGGGCTTTGGGAGGGACCTCGTAGGACAGTTCGGTGTCCTTGGTTGCATCCAAAAGCGAGTTCAATACTTTGGGCGCAGAGAGCTTCCCTCTATGAAAAAGGAGCCCCTTGGGGAGCAGCACTTTCTGGTATGGGGTTCAAAGATCCTGGAAGTCCTCCTGCCCTGCTCGCCGTCCGCTGCAGCCCTCAGCCGCCTTCCACACGTCCGACAGCGTTGGGGGGCGGGGGGCGGGCGACTCCGGCCCATGCAGCCTCGGAGCGACAGCCCCTGAACTCCTTTCTGACCCGCACCAGCGATGATAGGAACCAGCGGTGGGAACCCCACGAGCCTCTCACTACTCCGTCCCTGCCCCGCACCCCAGGGGCGGGCTTCCCGAGCTCAGGGGGGACAGGCGGGCGCATTTCAGGGCAAGCCCGAGGCCGCGGTGGCGGGTGGCGCTCCCCTCCTTTTGGCGCAGTGCCTCCACCTCGCCGCCGAATCTACCGCCGGAGACGGAATCTTCTCCCCCGGCCCTGGGCGCGCGGCGCCGACCGCGTGGACACGAGAACCAGGCTTCCGTTAAGAAAAAGGGAGAGGCCGAGTCCCTGCGCGTGGATGCGCGTGCTTGGGGGGGACAACGTGTACCCCTGTGCATATAAAACGTGCCTGTTTCCCAAAGCAGAAACTCGCGGGGTTGCTTTCGGGTCCCGGCGAAGTTGGTTGGGGCGGGTGAGAGCGCGCACTCGCAAACGGCTGGCGAGGGCGCGTACGCTCCGGAGAGCACTGGCTTACTTGGGGGGAGGGGTGTGCGCGTGTGAATGCGACAGGCAGAGCCTTTGGCTGGGGTCCAGGTACGGGAGTGCGGGCCTTGAGCCCGGCAGGAAGCCTGAGCGCGCCCCCCCGCGCGTCCGCAGCTGAGCGGCGCGCGCGTGAAAGTCCGAGGGCACCTTCGGGTTTGCAGCCTCGCTCTCCTTGGTGGGTGGGCGCTGGACGCCGGCCCGCGGAGCAATGCGGCGCTTCAGGGTGCGAGTGGGGCGGGGCAGGTAGAGACCCTGGCGCAGGCTGTCCCGCCCGGCAGTTTAGCAAACGAGCCAGTGGTGCGGGGCAGCTGCGTAAACCGAGGTGGGCGCTGCCGCGGAGGGTCCCCGGTTCAGGGGGTGCTGAACTCCCACTGGAGGACTAGGCGGCCAGAAAGGGACGCCTGGCCCTGCGCAGGCGGCACCGGCCCAGCCCCTTCCCCAGTCCCTTCACCCACTCCTCCCCCTCCCAGAAGAGCGGGGGAGGAGGCTAGGCTGCCAGGCGGGGAATGAAACTTCTCTAGGGGCGCA